CACCCGCCAGCTCACCGATTCCCGCGCCGACCAGCTCGCCGACTCCCGGGCCGACGACGGCGACAGTTTCGACAATTCGGTCTTCTGCCACGTCAACTCCGACGGCGACTCCAACGCCAGGTCAGGCGCAAGCTGCGACCGCCGTTTCGCGAGCAGCCCAATGACGACGGCGAGTACGTAAGGGAACAGCACGACGCTGACCAGCACTACCATGAGCGGCACCAGCACAATCAGCGCGACCAGCACGACCACGACCACGTGGGTGAGCACAACCAAGGACACGACTCCTACCGCCGCTTCCACAATGTCAGCTACCACGAGTATTTCCTCCATCCCCATCTACAGCAGCCCACTCGCCAAATTGTCTCCCCTTGTCGACTCACCGTTCACGGACGCAGATGTGCAAAACTAGTCTCGGTGCTCTGCATACGGTTTCTACCTTAATTGTGGTCTACGGGCTACTGTATGCATGGGCGGGGCCCCTAGCTGGTTGGCGGCGGCCGACCCCAGCTACTGCGCTGGGCTTGCCCGCTTCCCGCCTAGGGGGCCCACGCGTGGGGCGAACCCGCCACGCGGCGACATCAGAGATAGACTTTTCTTTTCGAGATTGTCCTGTTGTTCTCGTCTGCCCTTCGCCCATTCTTTCTCCCTCCCCTCCCTTCTCCCCTCTCCTTCCCCTCTGTTGTGTTCTTTGCTTGGCTTGCTCCCACCTGCGAGCGCCCCTTGTCCTGTTGTTGTTTCCTCTTCTCCTCCTCCTCCTCCTCCTCCTCCTCCTCTTCCTCCTGCCGCTTCGCTGTGTTCATTCGTTCCGCTGTTTCAAGGCTCATTCGACTACTCGGCCCACGGCCGTGCGCGCGTTGCCGGCCGCCCCTCGCTGCTCCGCCCCGCGCCGCGGCGCAGCCCTGCCGTGCAGACGTGCAGCCAACGACGCCGGGGTCGAAAGGAACCATCGCCCGCGGTTCGGGGCACCGGGCCGAGCCCCGACACCCGCCCCGACGCGCGCGGCCCCGCCGAGGCGCCCACGGGCGCGCACCCGCCGAACCCCGACACCAGCCGAGCCCCGACACCAGCCCCGAGCGCCAGCCCCGACACCAGCCGCCGAACCCCGACACCACCCGCCGAACCCGCCGAACCCACGGGCACCGGGCCGAGCCCCGACACCCGCCCCGGAGCGCGCGGCCCCGCCGCGGCGCCCACGGGCGCGCACCCGCCGAAGCCCCGGCGTCCACCGCAGACGCGGGGCGCCCACGAGGCGCCCACGGGCGCCCACCAGCCGCGCAGCAGTCGAACCCCCCCAACACTCCTCCTCCTCTTCCTCCTCCTCCTTTCCCTCCTCCTCCTCCTCCTCCTCCCCCTCCTCCTCCTCTCCTCCTCCTCCCTCCTCCTCCTCCTCCTCCTCCTCCTCCTCCTCCTCCTCCTCCTCCTCCTCCTCCTCCCACACATCATTCGGTGGCCTAAGTAAGAACAGTAGTAAAACCCTGAGTGCGAACGCTGTTTGGATAATGCGTGCTTGAGCCCAGCGTGGTTTCACAGCGGCTTCTGGCCCCCCCCATCTTTCCGGGAGGGCTGGCGCAGTGCACGGTGTTAGTTCGAAGCTGGGGAGACGTCGAGCCCGAGGCATCCATCCGTCGGTCCTCTTCCCCCGCCAGCTCCCTCCTGTCCCTCCCTCCTGGGGGCCTCCAGATGGGCTTCCGGGAGTCCCCAGAGACCCACACAACATCCCAACATGCAATCACAGCTCAGATGTTTGAGGACGGGGGATTGCAGAGTCAGAGTCCCTCGGGTCCGAGGGTGCGCGCGCGAGGCTCTCACACTGAGTTCGCACGTGCGTCTTTGAATGCGTTTTGCGGCGGTGCACGCGCGTATGCTCTACGTGTTCCTCCTCGTCATCCTCCTCCTCCTTCGCTGCATCTGCTGTGCTCCCCAGAGGAGCAGGGCCCCCCCGAAGCAGACAAGAGACAACGCAGCAGGGCGGGTTGTGCCGATGAGTGTCTGTTTTTTTGTTTTCTTTGTTGCCGGGGTGCGGGGGAAGGGGCGGGGAGAACCGAAACATTGCTGCTCCGCTTCCTCCTATCCCTCCGCCGTCGTCCTCCTAGAGCACCCCAGAGCTTCGTAGGGCCCAGGCGTGCTGTCCAAAGTCTTGGATTGCAGCCATGGGCCATTGCTGGGAGTTTCCTGGAATTTTGCCACGCCTTCTGGCACATCCCAACGTGCAGAACCTACAGCTCTCTGGCGCCCTTAGCGTATCTCCCAGAAGTTGAAGAAGTCTCGGGAGCCCACGTGGGTACCAGAGAGACTGCAGGTTGCCTCACTGGACTTCGAGAGCAAGTGAACATTCCCCGATGCAGATACGGCAATTCAAAACGTTTCAGAGCCTCATGAGGCTCACCGGGGGCATTCGGGAGCACCCGAGTGTCCTCTGGATCTGTCTAGAGCCCTTCCGGGCATTCTGGAATTCCTTCGTTGCCTCCTGGATAGCGTTGTGGTGCCATTGTGTTGCCTTTCGGGGCCTTCGAGCATCCGAGCCTTCCGGATAATCCCCAAGAAATCTAAAGCTCCCGATGGCATGATCAAGCCTTTGAGAACGTCCTGGGGCTTTCCATTCGGCCACACTGAAACGCCGTAGAACCAGAGTGTTCGACAAGCTCCCTAGAGCATCCCAGAGCCATAGAGAGCCTTCCAGCGCGTGCTCAAATGCGTTGTTGCGAACAGGAGCCCCGCGAGCCGTCTCAAGTCGTCGAGGGCATTCTAAAGTCCACTACAGTCCCCTGGCGTCCACGAGAGCAGGTCTCAACCCTCTGGAGCTCTTGAGAGAACTCGAGGGGAGTACCTGCCGCACTCTTCTTTGACTCTCTCAGAGGGTGTTCGAGCCCTCTGGGGAGTGCTAACTCCGTCAGGGCCGCTGAGAGTCACCGAGAGTCCTCGAGGGCACTCGAGCGCTCCCGATCCGTCTGGAGCCACAACCTGCTGGATCATCATGGAGCTGCCTAGATACCCTGCAGGCGTTCAACTGAATTGCGGTGCTCTCTAGAGCTTGCAGGAGCACCCGAGTCTTACATATCCTTCTCGGACTGTCTGAAGCCCACGCGCAGCACTCGCATACCTTCGCGAGCATCTTGGAGCCTTAGGCGAGCCAGCGAGAGCATGTTCTCAAACCGTGTGGAATTATTTACAGCATTCTAGAGCCTCTGGGGGCCTTGGGCTAATCGCTTAGTATCCTCGAAGCACTGCCCCCCAAAGCCTCCTGGAACCCTCCAACGCGCTCTTGGGCATAGTGTTGCTCGGAAGGCGGTTCATCGTAGATCGTATGACCATCTTAAGCGTTGGCATCCGATGCGTGGACGTTTTGTGATCGAGCTTATCAGCCTGCGTCTCATGAAGTGCATCTCTATGGCTGACCCTGACAGGTTCCCAAATTTGTTGTGGAGGCCCCAGGTGCTTCGGAGAAGAGTCCGCCCGTACCTTGCTGTCACCATGGTTCGGATTGCCTGCCGTGGCCTTTGTACGTCCTCCCGTTTCAGGTCCGCTGCCAGGCACTGCATTTTCGGTTGCCAAGGCTGTCCTGACACGGACAACCTACGACACTACGCCGTCTGTAGGCGGATGAGGGAGGTTATTGATCCGTGGGTATTGCGAGACTTTCTTGGGCATGGTCATGATTGATGTTCCAATTTTCGTTTTCCGCAAAGCTCGCCTCAGTGATGAAACCGAGATTCGTTGTGCTAGCTTACGTAATGCCTTTAAGTTCGCCCACACTGCTATGAACAAGTCTTTCACAGTTGTTTGAAGGAAGACTTCGAGTCCACTGTTGCCGCCCGCCCGCCGTTCAGGCAGCTTGGAACCAGGGTCCTCGACTGTGCCTTTGCAGCGTTCATTTGATGTGGTGAGTTCCACATGACTGCGCAAGACACAATTGTGTAACTTCTGTTCTGGCCTTTGGTGGTAACTGGACCATCCCGTTGATTTTGGATGGCTTCCCGGCAGAGGGATACGTGCTGAGCTTCCACCAGCGGTGATTACCGGGGTTCGCGGGCGTCTGGACAGCGGGCGCGTGCAGTGCACTAGAGACTGCGATCGTTCCTATCGCAAAAGAAGGCTGATGTAGCAAGACAGCCATCCAGACAGAGTTGGGTCAAGTATGCTCCGGCCTGTGCTGGCAGACCCTCCAGTTGTTTTTGGACTGTTTCCCGATGGGGGGATGCAAGCAGAGCTTGCCACCGGTAGGGATTCCTGGAGTGTGCGTGGGCGTTTTGATTGCGGGCGCGCGCAGTGCAGCAGAGACCTCGGCGACCTGGGTACACCCAGAGTCGCGGTGCGATCGCCTCCCTGCTGAAGCAGAGGCTGGTGTAGCAAGACAGCCATCCAGGCACAGTTGGGTAAATCATGTTCTGCCCTCCCCCCCCCCAGAAAAACGCACTTGGGCATAGCAGAGTCCGCCAAATCATCCCTGCATCATTGTTGGAACACCCCGCGCCTTCCCGAGCACTCCCAGAGCCTTTTGGGTCCAGGTGGCACCCGCCTGGGCCCTTTGATGCTTCCTAGAGCATTGTGGAAGCGACCATGGTTGTCGAAAACTTTCCATTTTTCCAGAACGCCCGAGAGTCCTCGAGAACATTATAACTCCATATCTGGCCTTGCAGGAGTCTTTGCAGCCATCCAAGTAAACATACGAGCTTCTATAGCTCTGTTCGAGTACTCTTCAAATGCGCTACCAACGGGGGGGAACAATAATAGATAATAGTGTAGCCTGAGGGTTGGGAGACAGACGAGGAGAGAGAGAGAGAGAGAGAACAAACAAAGGGAAGAGGGGGAATAGAGAGAGTGTGAGACAGAGAGAGAGAGAGGCAGAGACGAGACGAGAAAGTAGGATGAAGAGAAGGAGACAGGAACGCAACGCTCTTCCAGAACACTGGAGGCTCCACAACCCCCTGGCGTCGGATTGTCCCCCCCCCCCTCCTGTCTCCTTTTTGTCCCGCCCCCTCTTCCCCTCGCGGCAAGAGGTGGCCATCGACGTCGTCGAGAAGGGAGCCTGCTTCTGCCCGCTGTCCTTCTACCCGCTTCCCGGGGCGGAGCCCTTCACGATGGTGCGCCCCGCGCCGCCGTCGCGCCCTCCCCGCGCCGTCGCCGCCGCCACCGTCGTCGGGGCTCCCGGGGGGCGCGTGCGGCAGAACGCGGCGTTGGGATCGACGTGTTCTGGTTTTTGGGTTGGGCCCCCCGAGGCCTCCAGAGGGGCCGCCGTCGCGCGCCCCGCGTCGTCGTCGCCGTCATCGTCGTCGGGGCTCCCGGGAGCGCGTGCGGCAGAACGCGGCGTTGGGATCGACGTGTTCTGGTTTTTGGGTTGGGCCCCCCGAGGCCTCCAGAGGGTTCGGGCAGGAGGAGCTGGTGGCACAAAGCTCCTCCGCCGGCTCCTTCCCTGGACTCGCTGCGTGTTGGGGCTATCCGTTGCTCCGTCCTCCCTGTCAGCGTTGTGCCCCCCTCGGCCCCTGCCTCCTCCTTGGGCCTCGCCTGGACCTGGTCTCGCAGTCTCCGGGCTCCAGCTGCAGTCGGGCATCGGTCGATCAGGGATGGGCCAGGCGTGCGGTGGTCTGCGAGGCTTGCGAGCATGGAGGAGGGGAGGGAGCACACAGCAAGTGCACGTCTCGTCAGCGCGACAGCGGCGCCGATGAGGGCGCTCAAGTTTGACCATTGCCGTGTGCCTCTCGTGGGCACCAGCCCGCGCAGCAAGGGCCTGTGTTCGCGGCTCGGTCGGCCCAGCCGCGTCGCAGTCGGCTGCGCTCGGCCAGTTCGGTGTGTCCGGGTGCTGTACCGCTGTGGCGTCGTTGCGCTCTCCCGGGTTGCCTGCGGCCCGTTTGTTGCGGTCGGTTTCGGTTTCGTTGCCAGCTCGGTCGGCTTCTTCTCTTCGCCATCGCAATCGCCGTGGTCGCGGCGGGGGTCGTGAGAGCCTGGGTAGTCCACACAGTGGCAGGGACCAGGGCTGACGTCGTGGTGGCATAATCTGCCGTAATTAAAACATGAGGACCCACCCCCTCCCCTCCTATGTGGTCGACGGAGCAGGGCTTCCGATCGTCGGCTGTGCGCTTTCATCTCAGTCAGTTTTGGTGCGCGGCTTTCAGCGGCGCGGGGCTAACCTCAAGCACGAAGGGCGTTACAGTCGCATCGCGTGCAGCTATCGGCACCTCGCGAATCCGATTCGACACACATTGCAGATTGAACCTCGCACGCAGCCCCTCTGAAGCTCCTTACTATCCGAAGGGTGGTCCCATAGACTGGTAAGTCTTATTCCGGGGAGTTGAGGTTTCGCTAATAGGTTGTGGCCCATTGGCGCTCTTCACCATCCAAAAGCGGCCGACCAGAGAACGTGGCGAGCAGCAAAAGGAATCATGACTACCTGGAAACATCCAGCTGAGGAGGATGAGGAACACGGGACGGCGGGGGGGAGACAGAAGAAGCAAGAGGAGAAGGAGACAGACTCGGTTTCTCCTCCACCCTCCCTCTCCTCTCCTCCTCCTCCTCCCCCCTCCCTCCCTCCCTCCCTTCCTCCCTCCCTTCCTCCCTTCTCCCTCCATCTCCTCCTCCTCCTCCTCCTCCTCTTCCTCCTCCTCCTCCTCCTCCTCCTCCTCCTCCTCCCCCCGCTCCTTCTCCTCCTCCTCCTCCTCCTCCTCCTTCCGTAGCCATTTTGGCTCAAGTCTGGATGAAAGCTACGGTGTAGCGAGATTCCAGACTGAGGGCCAAAGTGGTCTTCATAGGCATGTTGCCCTCGAGCTGCCTTGTTTCCTGCTCCCGAGGCCAGGTCATCGGCCGCCCGCAGGACAGCTCCGTTTAGGCATCTTCCGAATCAGTGCTGCCGCTCCACGGCGATGGCGTCGGACGATGAGATGATGTGCCCAACGCCTGTGGCCGAGGAAGATGGTTCAGTCCCGAAGCGAGGGCGTACTGGCGATGCTGACTGGCTACGAGAGATGCTGGGTGACATTCGCTCGAACATGGCCACAAAAGATGACGTTTCAGAGGTGAAAAGAACCATTCATGAACACGAGGTGAAGATTGACGGATTGACTGCTCGAATGAAGGAGATAGAGGACATAACTAATTCCAGCATGGAGGCAGCACAATCTGCTGCAGCCGCCGTCATGACTGAAGCTGTTGACAGCCAGCTGAAGGACATGAAGGCTCACAATCTCAAGATGCAGGCCGAGCTTGCTGCTCTGTCTTCGCGTACCCCTTCGACCAGGTCGAATGCATCGGCTGCATCTCAAGAGACTGAGAAGGAGAGGGACAACCGCAAGATCTGGATCGCTGGCTTCCCGAGGCCGCTGCTAGCCAAGGTCATGACTGCCCATGCCACTCAGCTCATCCAGCAGCACGTCCCCAACGGCATCAAGGCGATGCCCAAGTCGCACAATTTCCAAACGGCATACAGTATCATCTTTGAGTCGAACGAGGCGGCCAAGGACTTCTTGATGCGTGCGCGGGCCCTGTGCGTGAAGTGGCGCGACCCTCGCACCAACGCGGACTGTGACCTGAAGATCCGCATGGATGCACCGCCCGCCATCCGCAAAGTCAACCGTATCCTCGGCGTCCTTTGGTCCAAGGTTATGGAAACAGCCAAGGCCAATAACAAATGGAGTACTTATTATACGCTGGGCTCGCAAGGATTTCGTGGTTCGTTGTGGCTGATCTCTAATTATGACACAGAAAATCTCTTCCAGGTGAAAGGCGTAGAGTCGATGCAGCTGGACGTCATTCCCAACGTCGTGGCACTGAAGAAGCTCGGCTTCACTGACGCCACCATCAACAGCACTGTTGAGAGCATCCTGATCTAGGAGAACGCCCTGCCAAGCCAGCAGCGCATGAAGACCAACCTGCATGATATACCCCTGGGGATCCACGCCTCTCCTGTGGATAGTGAGTTGACTGGTTCGGGTGTCCCGTTCTGCGCGGGCGCTTGCAGTGTGCAATCCACACCTGAGCAAGCGGCAGACAGCGACGACCAGCAGCACGCCACACCGCCACCTACGAAGAGAATTCGGTCTTCAGGCAGAATTGCAACTTCAGCGAGAAGAGCAAGAGCCTCTTCCTCGTCGTCCAGCTCGTCTGGGGCTTCCAGTCCTGCTGGGTCTTCTGCACGTTCGGCACCTTCGGCAAGCTCGACGTCCTCATCCTCCAGCTCTTCTTCGTCGTTTACGGTTGATTGGCCTGCTTTGCCGATGCGATGTAGTCCTTTCTTGCCGTGCAAGCGTTTTTCAGTTGTGTCTTGGAATGCTCGTTTGCTCTTCGGCGCACTGTACGCCCCGCAGCACACCCACCGCGCAAAGATCAGGCAGCTTATCAATATGATTCAGAATCATGATGTTGTATGTATTCAAGAGGCTCGCGGGACGTACGAGTGTTTCCGTGCCCTGGAGCGCGAGGTATATCAGCTCTCTGGCTTCTCGACCTTTCTCTGTTACCCTCACTCTGGTGGTAGTCTTATTTATGTTCATCCTCGGGTACGCAGCACGTTTACACATGCGCAACATCGTGTCATTGCACATGGGCGTATACACACTGTTGTTCTTCATAATGACCAGCATGCTATCCAGATTGTTAATGTGCATAGTTATCCTGGTCTCCGCGTGCGTGAACGCAAGCGTCAGCTAGTGCAGATTCGTGATGCCCTTCGGCCTCGAGCGCAGTGCTCTGTCTTTCTTTGCGGCGACTTTAACTTCCCTGCGCAGGGCGAGGGCAGCTTCCAAGTGTCGGGGAGGCTCGTTCGCCCCACCCACAGCCTCGCCAAGCTGTTTGATCGGCTCTTTGCACACGTGGTCGAGGTTGAACAGCCGCAGTTCACACATCGCGTCGAAGGGCACGACGAGGGGCGCAAAGTGGTCCTCTCGCTCGGGCGCCTCGACAGGATATACACTTCGATCCCTGCTAGCACGATCCTGGGCCTTTCCCCGAGCGCTGGAACGATTGGCTGTGCAGCAGACCTCGCCACACTCTCTGATAACGTGCTTGTTTTCTTGGCCCTGGCGCCCCCCGGCCTCAGTGGGACCTCGAAAGTGCAGCCCTGGGTCTCCAAGCACAAAATGTTCCCCGATGTGTTCAAGGAGGTGTTGCAAGGAGGAGGTGATCTTGATGATGACCCTATACAGCGGGTGGAGGAGGTACGCAACGCAATACAGGTAGCAGCTAAACTACTACTAGCCAAGCTTGAGCAGAAGGGCGCCAGCTCGTTGCCTGCGTACATCTCCTGGTCTCTTGCTGCTATGAGAGCCGAGAGAGCCAAGGCCCCAGGTGTGCTACGTAGGGCTGCGAAGGCCTACCCGATGCTCCAGCGGTTTTTCAATGTCGAGCTCTGCGCTTGCTCGAATCTCATGGGCTTCCACACGTTCTTAGCGAATCTAAAGCGACAGCAGATAGATGAGCAGATTGAAGAAATTCAGAACGACATGAACATCCCCTCGGCCCAAAAGAAATCCACTATGAACAAGCTTTACACCTTCAGATCGGCGTGGAAGGGACGTGGTGCCCAGATCTCGTTGCAAGCTATAGCCGACCCTCTCGGTGCCCCCATCTTCGACCCAGTCGCTGGCGCTCGAGAGCTCGCTCGGCACTGGGGAGCTGTGCACTCTGCTGTTGCCATTCAGCCTGCTGCGCTTAATGATCTGCTCGTACACGTGCAGAGAGTTCCTCAAGTAGTTATCTGGAGGTTGGAGGAGGCGGAGTTTTTTGACATGATGAAGAGACCGCGTGACAGCGCCCCGGGGCCGGATGGGATACCATACTCGGGCTGGAGTCGTGCGGGGGAGGAAGGAGGACGGGCCTTATTCAATCTGTACGAGCACATCCTTGATGTTGGCGAGTGTCACCCAGAGTTTAATTACGGCCACAACATTTTCCTGGCCAAAGGCGATGATGAACAAGATTCCTCGCTCTGTATGCGCGCGCCTTCAGTTACGAGGCCGCTGACTATGTCGTGCACCTCGAATAAGCTTGTCTCGCTTGCCCTGAACAGGCCGCTGGCTGCCATCTGCAGATACTCGTGCATTAAGGAACAGAGAGGCTTCGTGGGAGGGAGGAATATGAACGAGAACCTTCTCGAGCTCGAATATCGTGCGATGCACTGGTATGTCCAGCGTCTTGTCGCGGCGTGCGGCATCGTGCTGCATGATGTGCGCGCGGCCTTCCCGAGCTTGCTGCACGAAGCTATGTTTGCCACTCTGCGTGCCATGGGAGTGCCAGGCTATTTCGTTCGTGCTGTTCAATGCCTCTACACCAATGTTTGGATTGCTATTTCGTATCGGGGGATGCACCAGGATGTAGGCTACTGGCTCTCCCGCGGCATCAAACAGGGATGTCCTGTTAGTGGTTCGCTGTTCGCACTCGCCGTCGACCCCGTGCTGCGGATGATTTGCCTCCTGCTTCCTCGACCGCTCCACAGCCTGGGGGCCTTCGCTGATGATGTGGGGATTAGCTCGGGTGACATTGTCGAGGCGTTCGTTTCCAGCGTGTCGGTGTGGGACCTCGCTGGGCCTGGTATGGGCCTGTGCATCAACGTTGAGAAAACGGTGATCGTCCTTCTGGGGATCTCGGAGGCAGATTTTCTTGCAGCACTTGGGGCCCGCGGGTTTCAGGCCGATACTATGGGCCTTCAGTTGCTCCCCCGTGGGCGATATCTTGGCATACGGCTGGGACCCGATAGTGTGTTCGATTCCTGGGAGCCTGCCCTTAAGAAGTACGTCCAGAGGATCCAGATGATTCGAGGCCTCGAGTTGGGCCTCGCGAGAACTGTGGCGCATTATAACATGCTCGCGTTTTCTGTGCTCACGTTCATCGGCCAGTTTTTGGAGCCCACGAGCCGTTGCTTGAGCCTGGAGCGCGCTGGCCTGCAGAAGCTCACCGTCGGGCCGAACAATGCTATCACGGCCTCGATGATGCAGGGCGTGACACAGCTGGGCTTTCCCCTGGACGCCAGATCGCTGGAGCGCACATGCCGCGCCGCCAGATACCGTGCTGCTTACTACTCCCCTGCCTTCCACGAAATCCGAAAGATGCTAGAAGAATTCTCAGAAGATGATGCGTGTGTAATGAATTGGCGTATGCACCCCTGGCGGAAAAGCAGCATCTTACGGTCGATGATCGAGAATTTCGAATTCCTGACCAGTATCCCAAACGTGCCGAGGGATGAGGTGCCGCTTCAGAGAAAGACGGAGCTCTTCCTGCGTGAACTCTTCCCTCGTTCTGTGAAGCCCCGGCTGCTGAGCCGCCTGCGTAAAAATGGCCCCCGCCTGTGCTCCAGTGATCTGGATATTGTTTTCCTGGCCTTCAGGAGGGCCGCCCCTCTCGTTCCGCCCTCGGTCCTCGCCTCGCTTCTAAAAACTGTGTGTAATGCCTGGTGCACCTCGGGGCGTTTTCGGAATGCCACCAAGGATTGCCCGTTCTGCGGCCTACGTGCTGCTGACACCCTTAAACATGTAATTGAATGCCCGAGGCTCGACATCATTGGGATTTTCCTGCCAGAGCTCCCTTCTGCGTTTTGCCTTGCCCCTGGTGCCGCCAGAATTCAGATTTATAGATTTGTTCCTCTTGACAATCGTGCTCTGTTGTCCATCGTGTTGTATATTGATGCCTGTTTTCATTGTTATCATACCTGTCGCCTTCGTCCCACGTCGCCCGTCGCCGTGGCAGGGGCCCGTTTTCAGCAGGTCTGCAGGCGGAGGTCAGACCTGTCCGCGCTGCTCGGCGCGGCCCCGCAGGCGCCGCCGCGCGCCGCTGCGTCGACGACGTCTTGCCCTCGTCTCGCCTCTTGTCCGCCTGCCCTCCTCTCGTCCCTCTCTTTTGGCCAGCGCACTCCTCTTCCTCCTCCTCCTCCTCCCTTTCCATTTCCCTCCCTCCCTCTCTCCCTCCCCCTTCTCCTCCTCTTCCTCCAGAGGGGAGCAATGAGATAAAGTAGGAGGAGGGGGAGGAGGAGGAAGGGGAGCAGGGGGGCGTGGAGCTTGCAGGGGAAGGCGACCGTTGTTTGTAAGCGAGCGAGCGAGCGAGCATACATACTTGATTTCGGTCATAGCTGGAGGTGGCGTCGGCGGCGGCGCTACACGGCCTGAGATGTTTGACGGTCTTGTTCGTCAAATTGTGAGGCAAGTTGGCGGTTTCGGTTGCAGATCGTCGGAGTCTTGTTTACCCTCGCAGCTCCGTCTCTAGAGAGCCTTATCGTCGCTTAGCGTCTGGTAGTCGGCGAGGCAGCGCAGATCTAGCGCCGATGAGCGCCAATCTAGCCTCGATTAGCGTCGACCGGCGTCGATTCGCAAGCGCCGACAAGTGGTGTGGGGACCTCCCAGACTCTGAGGCAGAAGACGGTGATGGCGCAGATGGTGATGCTGAGGCGACGGTGATGATGAGGGCGAGGGGGGGAGAGGCGGAGGAGGACCAGGAGGAGGACCAGGACGAGGACGGGGAGAAGGAGCGAGGTGGGCCCGAGCAGGGGTCCAGGTGGCGGTGACCGAGACGGTCAGGGTGTTGTGCGCCTCCGAGCAGGACGTGAAGGCCTTCGCCCTCCGTCAGCCCGTGCGCCGCCCCCGTCGGCCTCCCGTGCATCCGCTGCGGTCTGCGTCGCTGTCGTCTGTCGCCTTGCTGTCCTTCCAGGACTCGGAGGGGAAAGGGGATAGCGATGCCTCTGCCCTCGCCGAGATCTCGCCTTCTCGGGTTTCCTTGGAGGCCCTCGTCGCCACGGCTGGGTTCGCTTCGGAGTTCTGGTCAGAACGCGCCCCATCTGGGGGCTGCTGCGCCTCTCAAACCTTTGGCCTCCCCGGACCTCTAGGGACCCCACAAAACACCTCCAAGTCCTACGCCCAAACTCATGACGAACGAACAACACACACCCATACCCATAAGGGGATCGTTGGGAGGACGACTGGCTATGGGTATGGGTGCGGGCTGTCGGACCCTAGGGAACGCTCCCGTTCGGGCGGGGACCCCCATCCGACAACACGCACCCATAGCCCTTTCCGACCCCCCTATGGGTATGGGTGTGTGTTGGTGGTTCGTCACATAAACAAATACATATGATGACCTCTCGCGCCCCGAAGCACCCCCCCACCCACACACACACACACACAGCACAGCACAGCACAGCACAGCACAGCACAACACACCACACCACACCACACCACAACACAACACAACACAACACAACACAACACAACACATCACACCACAACACACACACACAACACACATATGCGCTCGAGCGCGTAACCATTGCCTTCCACACGTGCAATATCCAGTCCAGGCTCCGCCCTGCAGCCTGGACGCTCCCGAGCACCGCCCTTGACAGTGCGAAGGCGGGCAGGGCGATGCTCCTACATACATACACTGTGCCTGTGTAGGCCTCTGGACCCCTCGAGCGCCCCTTGGTTACGAGTGACACACAACACACATACACACACATGCACACACATTCACTCACACACACACACACACACACACACACTCTCCTGCATCCGGTACGCGGCTCACCCCAGCTTCTACGAGAATCTCTCAAGCAGCTTGTCAACGACTACGAGATTCACTACTCCACATCTTCGCCGAAGCCCGACGGCTCGCCCGCTGGATTCGGATGTGTCGCCTCCTCGTTCCTTCCGTTCCCCGTGACGCAGCAGCAGCATCAGCTGTGGACATGCAGGAAAGGCTACTTGAACCACATGGTATCAGTTCACCTGGCAGGGCACAGCCAGTCTATATATCAAATCCAGCAACTGGCCGCCCGTTCCGCGCCATGAGCCTTCACAATCTTGTTGTTTTGTCCACTGGTGAACTTGAGGCAAATCGGGTCAGCTGGTTCTTCTCCCGGGGCTGGACTGCTCAACGCCCTGAGCACTGTTCATTCGTTCCGATAGGCGGCTTCCACTTCAATTAGTCGATTTCTGCCTCTTATGTGTGTCATGTTGCGGGTCAAGCGACCCGTGCGGAAATGTCCAGGCAGCATTCTCGGCAATGGCAAGGTCTGCTCAATTAATTACGAGACGATAGAGATCAATAGCGAGAGCCGCACGTGTTGTGATAACACTTTAGACCGCGACATGTATTGACAGAGCCATCGTCCCCTTCTCTGCACAGTCTCTTGAGCAATTGGTATGTGAGCTTGAGGTGCATCGTGAAGCTGCCGCATGCGCTGACTGGAAGCTCGGTGATCATGCTGTGGTCCCGAATTACATCTCCAGATCGCTGATCTACGCGCGTACTCTGGAAACTCTCTTGGATGCATCACAAGGCGTTGCGCTCACCTTCGATGTGACAGTTACTGCAACGAAAAGGATGGTGCAGGTCGCTGCCAGCCTCACTCGCAACATCTTGTCGCAGATCCCCGGCGGCAATATGCAGAACGGCGAGATTCTGGAAGGGAAGGGATTGACGATGAGGAATGTGTGGACGGCTCGCAAGCTTGTGGCACTCATTCCGTTGGGCCGTGATCGTTCACGTAGATGTGAATGGGGCAGGTGTGACACTTTGGCAGCCTGGGGTATTCTGGAGCTGCTTTGGGGGATTGAAGGTGAGCCACTCACGAGGATCAACTCAAGCAGGACTCGACAGAACCAGCTTCTAGAGACGGAGATGCACATGCGTCGAGAGACTGCTGCGGGGAAGCGCCCCGTCATCCATCCAGGTTTGCTCTGCAGGTGTGGATGGTCCTATCGCGCGACTGCCTGGCATTGCGGCCAACGTTTTTACAGAGCACAGATCTGGCATCTTTCTTGGTACGCTAGCGCAGGATGTGCACGATGGTGGGGTCGGATCTTCCCTAGATGATGCCATTGCCAAGATGCCCAAGCTGGACCTCCTCATCCCGTCGATAGAGGGGATGCTGCGCATGGCTGTCAGGACAGTTTGGGTGACGACCTCTGGACCTAATGGGCTTCCCGCGGATGTCTAACTTCCCTGCGAGCAGACTAAGGACAACGTGTGTCCCTTTCTGCTCAAGGCGTTCGATGGCTCGGTGATACTTCCAGGTCCCAATGGCAGCGACTTCGCCTTCCTGGCGAACGGCCCGGCGGATCCGGGCAACAACGACATGGTCGATTGCATTCGCCAGCCCGCCGCCGCCAGACCTTTCGGCCTCAAAAGCCAGGATGCCAAAGGCTGAATCGCCACTGAGGTTGCCCAGGAAGATCTCGTAGCGACTTGGAATTCACACTCGAGCACATCGTCGCTATGAAATCAGAGGCCGCATTGCCGGCTTTCATGAGCTTTGGCTTCGCTTCCGCTCCCCCCGGCCTTAAACGCAGGTTGTTTCAAGATTCTTGAGAAGTGCTTAAACCCAAACGGTTACACACGAGCCATCATTCGCACCAGGGGCAACAGAGAGCTCCCGATGTCGGGGGCAACAGAGAGCTCTCGATGCTCATCATGTCGCGTGTCGCGTGGCTCTTTATGGGCTCCTGGTCCGGACCCCCTGCTCCACCTTCTTTCGCGAACCCTCCCCCGATGGGGCTTTTGGCAAGTTCGGGCTCTGTGCCGTTGCTGCTGGGGTTATCTGAAGTTCCCTGCAGACTGTACAGACCATCGAGCCCAGATCTTTCAATATCCAGCACGTTGCCACTCTCAGCTTGCAGGCCTCCAGGTACATCGTAGTGCCGGCGTGGACGGGATCCAGCCCCGAGTGAGTTTCCGACGTCAAAGCTCGGCTTGTCGCGTGGGTCCTTCGTGGGCCCTTTTCCGGGAACAAGAACTTTCGGGCCTAGTTGTTTTTGCGAGATACTTCGGCACGTTTAAGGGTCTAGGTGCCACTTCGGAAACGATAGGGGGCTGGCCAGGCTGGTCCACATGCTAAGTATATGTCTCGATGCATGGAGTTCGGCCTCCTCCGCGGTTCGGTGGACGGAGCTTCGGGGCTGTGCAACCCCTCGGGGACATCATGCTTATGTTAGACCAGTCAGTGTTATCCGCGATTGCATCTGCAGCTGCCAACGTTGGAAAGCTTCGCCGATGACACTCGACATATTGTTGGGCCCCTGGCGTCGCTTCAGGACGCGTAGACCAGATTCCGCGCAAGACGTCTTATGCGCTCCGCGCTGGAAAATGATGCAGGCAACCGTTCGGCACTTAAATCTCGGAGGCGAGTTTCCCCCCCCCCCCCGAGTTCTGCCCGAAATGCTTGGCCGCTCAGGACAAGAAAGGGGGGGCCCGGGGATACGCCCCAAGGAAGCTGTTCGGACGCACCCCTGTCGAGGATGGACGCGCCCCCATCGTATACAGCCTGGGTGCCGAAGAAGGTACCTTTGCGCTGGGGATGGGCTCCGTGTTCCTGGATTGTTTCACCGTGTGCTTTCGGTTTTCCTCTTAGGTTGTCGATTGGAAATCGAAGGTGAACCTATGGAAAAAAGGGGCCTCGGTCCTTATTTAGGGTTCCTTAGGTCAGCGCCCCGACTGCATCCCAGGGTTGGGCCCCACATTTCCCGCGACGACTGGGAGAAGGGTCGGCGTATCCCCTGCTGTAATCAGTTGCGCACCGCCTTGCCGATCCGCCGCTCCAAGCGCTCCTCCGAACAGACCCGTAGCGCTCAGAGGAAGGCGCGACGGGCTGCTGCTGAGGCGGCCACTGCGCTCGGCAGGAAGCCGAGGATGCAAGTCGAGGAAGAACAAGTCGGTATAGACTTAGACTTTCGACGCACCGCGCGGAGTGCCACAAGTTTATATTTATAGCGGTCGTTCTTCTCCTAGCAAGGCACTCTTCTGCGTGCGTTGGCCCAGAAGGCCGGATGGGAGATGGATCTTGGTTCGAGAAATAGGGGTTCGGGCCCCTTCTGTTCGCGCGCTGGCTATAGCTTAAGACAATGGCTGGCGGGTGGGCCACCACGTACTGTATGCATGTCACAGATGAGCGTTGGGGTGCGTTCCTGGGTGCCACGTTCGCTCATATCGTAGTGCCCATTTTCTCATTTGCCCTCGCCTCACCCACTTCGTCTGTCTGCCTCGAACTGTCGTTTATCCGTGTCCCCTCTTCCGTCTCGGCGCTGGCCTCCCAGTGCGTTGCCCCGCCAGTGGCCTCACGCGTGAGAGCGCTTTTCTTGCCCCCGCCTTCTGCTTGTATATCTACCACGCAGCAAAGGAAATGACAGGTAAGCAGGGTGCATGCCCTCTAACAGTCCCCCGACAGTTCGGGACCTTCAGAACGACCCTCAGCAGCATGCCCAACATTGTACACGCAGTTGGGTGTGGCCACGGCGTTGGGCTTGCTGACCCCGACCCCATGGAAGTTCTTGCCGCTCCTCCCTCGCCGTCCGTCGTCCATATTGACGACTCATTCTTGTCGCACCCCCTGAAGTCTCGGTCGGGCGGGCCCGGCGTTTCGCCTAACATTTCCCCACCACTCAGGATTCTGAAGCTTGGGAATTGCAGCAGTTTCGCGGATGGAGGCCGGTTCGTTTCCAAGTTGTGATTATCGCCTCAGCGTCGCGCACATTCGGTTTTAAAGTTCGCAATAGTTTCATGGAGGGCGGTTGGTTTGAAAATGGTGGCTCTCGGCGTAGCGACTCACATTTTCGAGTTTAAAGTTCGCAGTTGTTCCAAGGACAGGGAACGGTTCTTGTTCGAAATGTGTCTCTCGCTTTAGCGCCGCGTGCGTTCGTCTTCCAAGTTTGCAGCAGCTGCAAGGGTTAGTATGGATGATGTCCCAGGAGCGGAGTATTGTCACGGTTTTGGATTGCCAGGGCGCAACAGTCACGCTAATTCGCGGGAGAAGGGAAAGAAGGAGCAGGGGGATGAGACGGACGCGGAGGTGGAGGCGGTGGAGGAGGAGGAGGAGGAGGAGGAGGAGGAGGAGGAGGAGGAGGTGGAGAAGGAGGAGGAGAGGGGAGCTTGGCTTCCCAGTCCCCACCTCCTCCACGGTCACAGATCGCGGGGCAGGGGACTCGAGGGCATCGGCGTTTCGACGCGAACTCGTTCGCATTACCGAGTTGCCGAGGAGCTTGAGGAGGAGGAGTTGAGCGGTATATTTCAGCAACGCAGAATGTTTCGAGTGGTTACCTGAGTTTTTGTTCACTGTGTGTCTAACTTGCTAGGTGTGCGGGAAGATAAGTGGGATGAGGAAGGAGAGAGCGAGTTTTCGGCAGTTGAGCAGAAGGAGGATGAGGAGGAGGAGAAGGTAGAGGAAGAGAAGGCAGATCAGGATAAAGATGAAGCGGAGTTCCGGAAATCGGAGGAAACGGGGAGGGACGAGGAATGAAAGCAGGTAGAGGGGGAAGACATTCGTGGAGATGGTGCAGCAGGGACGTGTCAGCAGGTGGGAGGGGGAGATTAGTTTTGCTTTGCAAAACGAGGGTCGACATGAGCAGGTGGGGGAGCAGCGGTTCTTGTTAAACTTGAACAGTCAGCAAGGGGTGGTTGCATCTGAAGCGCACCGCGATGGGCCATGTCCTGCGGACGTGCTCATTATGTTCTCTTGCCGCCGGTGCTGTGTTGACACCATGGCAGCGGTCACGCTGTGATGGGTCTACGTATGCGGTCACAGTCGTTCCTGTCGGTTATTGTTCACCTGTGTCCACGCGGTTGGTTTTTTGACAGGCTGTAGCCTCGTCCTGCGCTTCCTGCCCAAACGGTGCTCGTCCCTGGGAGCCTTTCGAGGTCACCAGAAGCTTCCAGGGGTCCTTGGAGGCCTCAGGAGCGCCCCCCCCCCCCCCCCCAACAGACGTCCGAAGCGCTTAAACATCGCGATCCTCCCGTCATTGAGCAGTCGGCCTCCGCCAGTAGGGTCACCACGGCAGGCTTTCCCGGCCAAGTTCGCCAAGGCGATGAGGAACTCGCTCATGCAGGCGCGGTGCTGCGATACGTGCACCACTCTGAAACCACTCGGTTGCTGCGCTGACAGAAAGTATTGGCCATCACATCCTGACTGGCCCACGTTGCTGTTCTGGGCTCCGTCCCGCCACTCCTCGTCTTCTTTTTTAGCTCTGCGTCTTGAGTATTCAGGAACAGGAGTTCTGTCGTTCAGCACTTCACCAGACCATGCCCGCGTTGCGCGCGCGGCCCGCGCTGCTACTGCTTCTGCTTCTTCTCCTGGACGAGGCTGCGGAACATGGCCTGCGGCAGCGCCATCCAGTGAGAGAGGGGGTCTCCTCGTTTTAGGCACCCAGTGCTCCGCAACTTGTTCCAGAGCATCCTTTTCTGCCTCCTTCCTTTTCTTTTTCTCACACGCCTGCTCTTCGCCCTCCCCCACCCTTGCTCGCGAAAGTATACAGACATCTTGCCAGCTGCGACGTGTGAGCACTGTTGGCGCATCGAATCAGAAATCGGCTTGGCAGCAGGTCCCCCAGAGGAATGTTTGACGTCCTGATGTCGCAGACATTTTGACAGTTCTGGCGTACGAGTATGTTTGGGGGAAGCTCGGCAGGGATGGTTTCAGGATGGCCGCGGGCACTCCGCTGTTCCCACGGTGGCGTCAGCTCGACCTGGAGCCCTGCCCCGCAGCCCGAAGTCCGCCAGCAAAAGCCTTCTGCACTCTACACGGAGCCCCCACCCGCTCTCTCTTGGAAGCCTGTGCCAACGCCCACGAACGGGGCACAACAAATTCAAATGTGCTGCCTCGAGCGATCCCCGTCCAAGAGTAGGATGCGGGATGCCCAGGGGCGCCGCCGCACTCGGGGCCTGGCGGCCGCGGTATAAAAAGCCGTCCTTCGTCGAAGGTACGAGGTGGGACACCCAGGGACTATGGGAACGATTTGGGCCTGGCGGCCTCGGAGGGCGCGCAGTGGGGGCGATAAAAAGGGGGGGTAGCGAGGGCTGCCGACACGGGACTCTTTCGGGCTCCTGAAGAACCTTTTCGGGCCCAGAAGGGGGCTCCGAGGACCCGAAAAGGAGACAGTTCTTCCTCCTCCCTTTTTCGCCCCTCCGCCATTCGCGCCCACCCGGGGTGAACGCACTGGCCGCGGCAAAGGAGGTCGAGAGCTCCGTGGGCCCGCGTTGCGCAAAGAACCGTGGGGTCGAAGGGGGGGGGCCCGTCCACCCGTGTCTGTCTGTTGGGAATGCACCGCCACATCGGCGAAAAACGCTTGGGGCGCGGCCCATCGCCCAGCATCCGACGGCGACGAAGCACGACGCAGCAGCCATAAGAACGAGTAAATCCCAGTTCGGGGGCTGCCAAGTTTGGGGAATGACTAGGGGTGTGTGGATATGATTGGCCGGGGCCATGACATCTCCCCGGAGATCCTGGCCCCTTCTTTTCTTCTTCTTTATCCCCTTTCTTCTTCGTCTTCTTCCTATTCTCCTTCAGATGCCTTCCCTTGCCCTGTCTGGGCCGCGCACACGCCTCGGGTCATCATTTACGAACCCCCCTCTTGGGCGCGCCCGACCAGCGCCCTGAACCCTCACCCCTCGGATGCGCGTGCCTTTCGGAGCTGACCATCGCTCCGCGAGGGGCACCGGGGCCGAAGGCGGGGCGAGAGTGCTGCTGGTCGCACAACTCTTCTCGGTCCCCCCTGGCGCGAGGACTTCCACTCCTCGCCATGAGGCAAGCGGGTCCTGAGGGAAGCTGGGCCTGGAGGTTTTGCTTCGCCGTTTTCGGGCCCCAGGGGGCCCTCCAGGGGCCCCGGGACCATCGAGAAACGACTCGGGATGAAGAGCTCGTCTTGGGTCAAGGGAGGAAAAGCCGACCCCATAATTGGCGTTTACTGCACGGCCTTGGGCGTTTACTGGACAGCCCTGCCCTTTTCGATTCCTGCCTTGGGTGCGTATGGCTTCGCTTGTCAAGGTGCTTACGATGAGGGTGGATTTTCTGCTCTCTTTTGGGAGAAGGCCCCGGGCTCCAGCACGCGTTGCACTCTGGAGACGTCCTCCCGGATCCCTTCCGCCGGGCCCCTCCGCCCCGCGTGCTGCAGGAAGGGGCCGGCGCAAGCGCGCCCAGACCCCGTAGCGCGGCGGGTGGGTTCGCAGACGCTCGCCCGCCTCGGAAAGAGCCTTCTTCGAAGCTCCTGCCGACCCCTCGCGACGAGCCCCCTGCCCTCTCTCAGAACGCCGCGCCGCGCTGGGGGGCCCACTGCCCGGCGCGTCGGCGCAGGCTTGCAGCAGGAGGTGCATCGCGGTGGGCGGGGGATGCGGCCGGCCACCCCGGATCCAGTCCCAGTCTAAGTGGGGCCTGCCCCTCTACAGGAGGCACGTTCAAAAGTAGTCAAACAAATAGTCAGGGGACGATATGTTGACCATTTCAGTATTTTTTTATGTATTTTTCTAGTGTGTTTTATTTTTCGTCCAAAATCCCCCTGTAGGGGGACAGGCCCGACTTAAACCCAGGCCCAGTCCCGGGGAGAGCCTCCCCACGACCCGCGCCCCTGCCGCACCAGCGGGAGGCGGGGTGGCCCTGCCCCTGGGAATGTGTGCTCCTCGGGCGAAGGGGTCGCTCGCTCGCTCGCGCCGCCAGGCCCTCGAGCCCCTCGAGCCCTCTCGCTCGCATCACTCCCGGAAGCTCTCGACCCCTCGAGCCGGCACCTAGGAGCTTTGCTTGGCCCGCCTTCGTTCGGACCTATTTTTTCTTGGGGGGGGGGGGGCGCCGGGGCCCGCCGCGGTTCGCCCCCCCCCCCCCCCCAACCCCCTCCCCCCCCCACGGCGTGCGCGTGCCGCGTGCCGCTGCAGCCAGGACCCAGGAGTGCGAAGCGAGGATGGAGGAGGAAGGAGGAAGGAGGATGGGTCAAGGAGGAAAGAGGAAGAATGGGGAGGAGGAGGACCAGTGCACGCCCAAGACTCATCAACGATGTTGTAATTTGTAATATACCCTCCCTCCAAGATCCCTCTTCCTAGGCCCCTACAAGGGGTCATTCCACTGAGGGGCATGCCCCATGGGAGAAAAAACGTGTGAACATCTTGAAGCGTACTGTACACCATTCTCAGAACTTCAACGCTACGAGTTAACCTCACTGCTACGTCTTGGCGATCCTGAGTCGCGCCAGAACGCCATTCCTGGGACTTCAACACGCGAATCAACATACCTGTTGCGCTCTGACACTCCTGAAGGGTTCCAAAGCCATTTTTGGTACGTGTAACCCTGAGAACCAATACAACTCTTGCAACTGTGTAAATCGAATGTGCGTGGCGCTAATGCGAGAGCCACATTTTGAAAAGGAACCGCCCTCAATCCGTGAAGCTCTTGCAAATGCTTACGACGAATGTGCGCGGCGCTAAGGTGAAAGCCACACTTTGGCATCGAACCACGCTCAACAAGTGAAACTTCTGCAATTTTTTAGAATGAATGTGCGCGGCGTTCAGGCGCCAGCCACAATTCGAAACGGAACCGCCCTCAATCCGCGAAGTTCTTGCAAATGTTTCAGACGAATGTGCGGGGCGCTAAGGCAAGAGCCGCATGCTGAAAACCACCCGCCCTCAATCCGTGAAACTCATTGCAATGTTTTGAAAATGCATGTGCGCGGCGCTCAGGCGAGAGCCACATGTTGAAAAGGAATCGCCCTCAATCTGTGAAGCTCTTGCAAATGTCGGCGATGTATCGCCGATTCCAGTTTGATATGTTCTCCCTGAGCTGTCCCCCCCCCGTCGTTGCCCCTCAGGGTTGCTCGGGTCCTTCCCTGGTCTGCTGCAGCCAGGACTCGGAAAAAAGGAGCTGTTTGGCTTCGGAAAGGGGCCCAGGGCTGATTCACTCAGCTCCTTCAGCGGTGTTCCCCATGGCGTTCCTCACGGGGCTGGGCGCAGCAGGAGCCCCTCAGTATGGTGTCGCTCTTTGTGTGGCGTTCCTTGGCGGCAGCACGTCGCTCTTTGTGCGGCGATCCCCGTTCTGCCGACCAGACCTCCAACTACTCAGATCGCCGACCCCCAGGCCCCTCGATGACCCCGCTCCTGGGAGCGGATTTGCAGTCTTGGGTGAGTCTCTGACGGCCCTGGGGCCCCCAAAAGGTCCCCCGAGGCGCAACATACATGCAGGAAACAACAGCTGGCGCGGCATGATTAGCGCCGCCAGAAGCATGAGCCTTCGGCGGCCGAATCACCCCGAAGGGCGGGAGGGGGAGGAACAAGAGCAGCAGCAGCAGAAACAGCAGCAGAGGCCCTGTCAAACCAAAAGCTTCGCCCGTGAGAGGATGATGATGATGATGATGATGATGATGATGATGATGATGATGATGATGATGATGATGATGATGATGATGATGATGATGATGATGATGATGATGCTGATGAATGATGCTGATGCTGATGCTGATGCTGATGCTGATTTTGCTGATTATGCTGATTATGCTGATTATGCTGATTCTGCTGCTGCTGATGATGCTGAGTGTGATGCTGATTATGATTAGGATACTGATGCTGATGCTGATGCTGATGCTGATGCTGCTGCTCATGATGATGATGATGATGATGATGATGATGATGCTGATGCTGATGCTGATGCTGATGTTGATGCTGATGCTGATTATGCTGATGTTGCTGATTATGCTGATTATGCTGATTCTGCTGATGATGATGCTGATTATGATGCTGATTATGATTAGGATGCTGATGCTGATGCTGATGCTGCTGCTGATGATGATGATGATGCTGATGCTGATGCTGATGCTGCTGCTGCTGCTGGTGGTGGTTATGATGATGATGATGGTGAGGATGATGATGATGATGATGATGATGATGATGATGATGATGATGATGATAATGATGATGATGATGATGATGATGATGATGATGATGATGATGATGATGATGATGATGATGATGATGATGATGATGATGATGATGATGATGATGATGATGATGATGATGATGATGATGATGATGATGATGATGATGATGATGATGATGATGATGATGATGATGATGGATGACGACGACGACGACGACGATGACGATGACGATGACGATGACGATGACGATGAGGAGGGGGAGGATGAGGAGGAGGAGGAGGAGGACGAGGAGGAGGAGGAGGAGGAGGAGCAGCAGCAGCAGAGGCCCTATCAAACCAACATGTTCGCCTGTGAGAGGAGGAGGAGGAGGAGGAGGAGGAGGAGGAGGAGGAGGAGGAGGAGGAGGGAGGATGAGGGAGGAGGAGGAGGAGGAGGAGGAGGAGGGAGGAGGAGGAGGAGGAGGAGGAGCGAAGGAGGAGCAGCAGCAGCAGCAGCAGGGGCTTTGTCAAACCAAAAGGTTGGCCCGTGAACGGGCGGGGCGCGATCTGGAACAACATCAGTGCAACCGGCATGCATGACATGAAAGGCGCGCGCGCGCGCGACCAGTGATCAGGTTTTGTGTCACTGTGCAGAGGGGGAAAGGAGGGGAGGGGAGTTAAGTCACACTCCACGAGCGCGTTATCATTACGTCTGGAAGTCGCACTCCACGAACGCGTTCTCGTCCCCTCTCGCGATGCTCGGATGAGAAGGAGGAGGTGGAGGAGGAGGAGCTGGCGCGAAAAAAGCCCCCAAGCTTTATTCTCGATGCTGGTATTTCCTGGTGTCTATCCGCGCGGCCCAGAAGTCCCGGTCCATTCTCCGGGGCAGCATTTCCGCCGCGGGGTACTTTTTTCGCCCAGGGCCCGAGAAAGGCCCCAAAGAGGCCCACCCGATCCGACGATCCGATGCGGCCCGATGCTTGCATGGGCGCTGTTGTGCATCCCGCCGCAAACGATCCGATTCGATTTCGTGTCCGCGCCGATGCAGCCCGATCCGACGCAAATTCCGACTCGATCCATCCGCCTTCCCCTTTTGGGTGGGGTTTTCAGATTTTGGGTTGGGGGTTGGAGGTCCTCTTCTTTGTCGACTAGCTGGTTTTGGCCAATCTCAGGCCTCCACCGCTTGAAAAAAAGCGGTTCGGATGTTGTCGTAGTGTTCGACCTCCGATGGCCCAGAGCGTTGCTCGGGACCGAAACGAAAACGATTCCGGCCCAAACGTCGGCCCTGGGGAGAGCGTCGGGGGCGCTGCCGTGCTGAGCAAATCAGGGCATCAGATCTCTGGAGTGTCCCCAGCTTGGGGCCCCATTCTGGAGGCTGCTGGGGCGCTCTCTAGGCCTCGTGGGGGAGGCTCTGGCGGCCCTTCTGGCACCCCGGGAAGTCCTGCGGGCACCTTGGGGCCAAGGACACTCCTGGCAACCCCCGAGCCATCCATCGGCGGTCCTTGCCCGTTCTGCTCCTCTTTTCACCTTCTCGTCCTCCCTGGTTCCTCCCCTCTTCCTCCTTCCTCCCTTTGCCTGTCTCCCCCTCCCATCTCTCGAAGAGCAGAGGTCCTCTCGAGCATCAGCTTTCGGATGCCCGCTCGGACTTCTTGGTGCGGCGCCTCCAGCGCCGTCCACAGCGCGCTTCGCGTGCGGGGGGGGGCGCGCGGGGGAGGGTACGCAGCGCCGACCACAGAAATCAGAGCGGACCTCAGAATGTGCATGCTCAAGTTTTCTCTTGGTCCCCTATCCTCACCTCCTCCTGCATCCACCTTCCCCATCGTCCGTTCTCCCTCCTCCTGGTCTGCCCCTCCTCCTGGTCAGCCTCTCGCAAACCCTCCGAGCCAGGACATGACGAGGCGCCTGAAGGCCGTCAAGAGGATGGACCTGGAAACGGCCCAGGCCTGCGGGAGCTTGTTCGGGCGCGAACTCATGGGGGGTTCTAACAGGGGGCGCAGCGAGAGCTCCACAGAGGCCCTTTCGGGCCCCAAAGGGGGCCTTTAGGGTAAGGGCACCTTTTTCTCCCCACCCCCACTTATCGCGGCGTGGACCCGAGGGTTACACAGGCACACTCTTCGCGCATGTTTACCTAGTGGCTTAGGCTGGTCTGACATGGCCGCCGTTCCGGCGACCACGTGGAGGCGAGCAGCGCGGAGCTGCAGCCAGTCCCGCTGATGGGTCGCTGTGGCTGAGTAAGAGTATTGCCAACGTTCGTTCTGGACACGCGGCGTTTTCTTCTTCTTCTTCTTCATTAACTCGCGCTCAACGGGACCTTGTCCTAACTAACCTGGGGGCGATTCGGCTTGGGCCCCCGCTGCCCCACCAGCGCACGCAGAGCCGCAGGGGAGTGGGCGTTGCAGCCGGCTGTGGGGGCGGTTTGTGCGGACCCTCTCCCTGGTGGAAGGGGTCTGCCAAGCCGCCCCCAGGGCCGAGCTCTTGGTCCCCAGACCCCTCGCGCTGCGGAAAAAAACACGACGGGAGGTTTTTCGCCATTGTCGGTTTCCTGGGGCCCTTGCCGGGCCTCGGGACCGTCGGGAAACGACTCAGGATGAAAAACCGGTCCTGGGGAAGGGGTTCAGACCTCTGGGGGTCGACGTTTCGAAAAAAAGAAAAACACGACGTCGGGGGTCTGGGTCTGAAAAAACACGACGTCGGGGGTCTGGGTCTGGCGGGCACGAATGGTCCGAACCGACGCCTCCCTTTAGGCCGAGGAGGTGGAGCTAATTTGCCCGAGAGACCAGGACATCGCCACCCCGGCCTGGGTCACACCATTCGGGGCAGGAGGAGGATGGGGACGGATTTTGCGATTGCCTCGAGAAGACAAATACGGTGATCATGACCAAGATGTGGCGGGATTTTGTCTATGCAGATCTTGGCCGTGGTCCGTGCCGGCCGTCTCCGATCCGCGAGTATGGTCCACGAATTGACGATGTTTGCTCTTGACGGTGATCAGGATCGGCACCGACGTTTCGCGTTGTCATAGTCACCGGTTTCTTTCCCCCCACTTGCTTCGGGCACCGATTTGTGACCACATTCACCTCGCGAAGCTCGATTCAGTAGAACAAGTGACAAGTAACAAGTCCGACCGAGCGCCCAAGAACGTCTTGTCCCGCTTGCGGGAACGGCGTGATTGATGCAGAAAAGAAGAAAACGCACAGCGGAAACATGCAAATAATGAACACACACACATTCCTCGCGGACTGCTACACACAACCTCTCATTATGACAAATACTGAAACAGAAAATCCTGCACCAGCCTGACGGGAGAGTCCAGCAAAATATGTTCCAAATTGGTATTGAAGCGATCCCGGAAGAAATGGTTGATTGAATCGGTCCATTTAGTTTTGGGACGCCCAATTCTACGCGGACCGCTAGGACGCCAGCGCAAGGCCAGAGATGGCCACCCGTGTCTCTCGGCGCAAACTCGGCAGATGGTTTTCCAACCGCTAGCTAGTATCCACTACCTTTAGCCAGACTGGGACTTTGTACACAGTCATGGCTCGTCCTACTCTTCGCTTGCACTGGCGCCCAGCCTCGTCCCAGGACTCGTGATCAGTTTTGCGAAACCCAACGATGCGTCGTAAAATGTGTGCCGGGACACTGGATACCTCGCCCGGTTGAGAAGGAGAAATGTTCCACCTAAATGTTTTGAAACCTTTTGTTTGCAGTGTCTTGAGGAGGTGGTTCGAATTCCAGATCTTATTGCTTCTGCTGCTTCCGAAGGAGGGGCAACATCCCTCCCCTGAGATCAGATCTTGCGAAATATTCCAAACCCTAGACAATCACGATGGAGACCTAGACCCAATCTGCGGCATTCTTCAAGCCAGATCGATCTCTGAATCGCCGATCGATCCGGCTTGAAAATCAATTCGAAGCCGAACCAAGACCAGCGACACCGGAAGAGAGCAAACACGCACGCTTTTCGCAAAACGCATGCAACGCCCAGCGCTCAGGGTTTGGGCAGGACGAGGAGGAGGAGAAGGAGGAGGAGGAGGAGGAGGAGGGGGAGGGGGAGGAGGCGGAGGAGGAGGAGGAGGAGGAGAAAGAGGAGGAGGAGAAGGAGGAGGAGGAGGAGGAGGAAGGGGAGGAGGAGAAAGAGGAGGAGGAAAAGGAGGAGGAGGAGGAGGGGGAGGAGGAGGAGGAGGAAGAGGAGGAGGGGGAGGAGGTGGTCTCCTCATTTTTCCTGGGATGCCTTCAGGAACCTTGGGACAGCGTGTCGCTCCGCCGGTTCAGGCCCACCGCGCCTCGGCACGACGCGTTGTTCATCTCGCGGTCCCCACGCGTCGTCGTCCCGAGCCGTTCCGAGCCTCCCGCCAAGCGGAGCGGAGCGACGCGCTACCCATTCACAGGGCATAGCCTTCAGCCTTTTTTGCCGCCGCCGCCGCGGCGACACGCTAAGCAAAGGCTCCCGATCGCAATTCCGTAGCCATTTATGGCTCGAGTTGCAATTTGGTTCAGGCTTGTTAGTTTGCGAGGGGTGTGCTTCGCTGGACGTCGCACAGTTTACACCATTAAACACACCATGACCTTATCTTCCTTATGCTACAGCTTGATTGCATGTCGTCAGATTGAAGCGTTTAGCCTGCATCTGCTGTCCCGCGACCTGAATGGACAGAAGCAGGGCAGTGTTGCAAGCGCTCTGCCGAGCCCAGAGGATCAGTTCAACAACTACCTGCACTCACACGGCGACCGATGATTATGCCCCGAGTGGAAGCACAGGAGCCATGTTGGACTCCGTCCACGGGGACTACGGCACGATCTTCGTCGTTTGGCTGAGCTACCAGGGCTATGAGCCATACAAAACTCTCGCAGAGGTCCAGGGGTTGTTTTGGAACGCGCCTGGTCTCAACGACACCCTTTACCACAACTCGTGGCACGCGACTTGGCTCTCGTCCTCCAATGTCGACTTCTTCCCGATGGAGTCTACTCAGGACAGGCTTGGCTGGGGAGGCATGCTAGGGTTGATCTATAGCGGCGTATCCAAAGAGGCGTTGTATCAGGCCAAGGCCAGCACGAGGAGTTTCGAGCATTCGCGCCTGGTTCTTATGGTGCCTCCGCGATAATGACTACTGGTGTCGGCAGTCATATCGGATGGTCCCAGTTGGGCTACACATTAGGCCTCCACCATGTTGGAGGATGGCAGCGGAGGGGGGTCGTTTGAAGAACTTGGACGATGCGATAATGGTGTTCAGGCACCAATGTGGTGGCGCGCTACAGGCTAGATGGGCTCACAGGGGCCGAGGTCGAGGAGTTCGTTCGGGGGTCCAGCCACTTGACGGTCAACATCTCTGCTCTCAACCAGGGGCCGAGCGGTGTACCATTCTCGATGTTGAAAGTCCCTTGCGATGAATGTGTTTAGGGAACAGCGCGTCTGTCGCAGGTGTGTGAGTGTGTGTGTGTGTGCCCTCTACCTGTCCTTTCGCACGGCCGACACGCCAGCCTTGTACGGTGTGGACGATTCCGATCCAGTGATTATGGGCCTCTTCGACAGGTTCAATTCCTCGCGCCGTCTGGCGATGGCCGATTGTGTTCACGTGCACTTCCAGTCCGACGTCAGTCAGAGGACCGAGCTGTGGACCACATTGGCAGCGGGAGAGACTTTCGAAGTAGCCAGCGCCACTTTGTGGATTCATGTGTGCAGCATCGATGTTGCAGCCCATGTCAAGGTAAGTGTCTCAGACACAAGCCAAGCCCTAGCGGAGGCAGGATGCTCGTTGCCAGCACCGACGCCCACCCAGCCCGACGCATGTCCCTCCGACGCCAGCAATGACGCCCTCTCCGACGACTTCTCCGACACCTTCTCCGACGCCTTCTCCGACCGCCTTCTCCGCCGCCTTCTCCGCCGCATTTTCCGACGTCTTCGCCGACGCCTTCTCCGACGCCGGAACCGACGCCAGAACCGACGCCAACCCCCCCCCGTGGCGGCACCTTTGCCGGCGCCGCCTGGGGCGGTCTCCGCCACGGGCGATCCCCACCTGCAAAATGTCCATGGTCAGCGATTCGTCCTGATGAAGCCTGGTAATCGTGTTCTTGTAAGCGTCCCTCGTGGAGCGAACGTCGAGAAGACATTGCTCCATGTGCAGGCCGATGCGCGCCAACTGGGAGGGAGTTGTGCGGACATGTATTTCCAGGAAGTGAAGATTACAGGGTTTTGGGCAGAGGAAAAGAAAGCTGGAGGATGTCAATACAGGTCATCGCACAGGGTAGCGAAGACTCCATTAGAGGTTGCGTTTGGCAAGGTTGAGGTCAAAGTCGTTCATGGAAGTACTCGCAGTGGCCTGCTGTACTTGAATGTTTACGTGAAGCACTCGGAGAAGGCAGGTTTTGTTGTCGGAGGTCTGCTGGGTGAAGACGACCACACGGGAGCAGCACAGCGTCCAGCGTCGTGTCACCAGAGAGTTGCTTTTCTGTCACAACGGCATTCGAAGGTGATTTTTTTAGTCAACGGCGGCTCTGGACCAATCACTGTCAGGTCGGCCAAATCAAGGAGCCTGAATCTTCCGATGCGTTGTAACATTCTCTATCTCTGGCCGTTGTGCTGCTTTCAGCGGAAAAAAGCTTCCGATCGCAATCGTAGTGAACAATGGCCTCAGCAGAATTCTATAGGGGAGACGGAGAGCCCGGGTTCGCCCTTTTTGGCAGTTGGTCCAGCAGCTGTGTCGCTTGAGATGTCCTCACAAATCCACTAAGGTGCGCGTGGCCGTGCTCTCACCCCGTGTACGAGTCTGATTCAAAAGTGAACACCCTACCATACCGCGTACGATCTTGACCCAATGAATCCGTAGGAATACCAAGCAATGCACGTTTTCAATAACCGACCTCCTACTCCGCGATGCTACTATTCGTTAGGCTCGTTATGGATTTTGGAATCCTTGAGTTACGCCATCGGCGTTCGTTCTTGGCGTTCGTTGCGAATGGTGGGTACCTGGTGGACGGTTGTTGCGGGGCGTGTGCCGCTGCTTGCCGCAAGTGGGTTGTCCCTATTTGCAAATTTTTGCGGCTACTTCGCCGACCCCTTGATTAAGGTCAGCCTCCATAACAACGAGCGTAAAACGGTCGGATTGAGGTATCGGATCGATGTCGGCTCGGGGAGGGTACCTTAATGTTCTTTTGTTTTGCATGTTACTGTGCGGTCTGGGGGAGGGACACCCTCGAATGTTCTTCCGCTTTTTCGACCTAGGGTCTCATGTTTTTGAAGGATCCTCTTCTGCCCTAGGTCGGGCCGCATTAGGGTGCTTCGCGGGGGTAGCGTGTGCGTGTGCCGCTGTTAACCGCGAGGTGGCCGCGCTATTTCCAGACATCTGCGGCCACTCCGCTGACCTCTGGACCGAGGTCGGCCTCCACAGCACGACCCAGCGAGCGTAGCATTAAGGGGTCATTCGCCGGGGTGACGTTTGCTGCCGCCGCTCCCGCAGGACGTGGCGCGCCCGGAGCCCGAGCCGCCGAGCCCGAGCCCGAAGCACCTGCGGCGCCCGGTCAGCGCGGGCTCGAGCGACGGCAGCTTGCTCTCCGTCGGTCAGGCTCGCGCGCGCCATCGCCTGCCGGCCGCCGAACTCAAACATTGCATAAGCATGCGCGCCAGTTGTTGAAAGCAGTACCCAACCTACCTCCAGCGCCTTCCTGCTTCATGGTTCTGCCCTGGCCAGGGCGCGGGGTCCTGCAGGATCGTGCGGGATCCTGCAGAGCTCGACTGGCCCGGGTTGCACTGACCTGGGTCAGGAGATCCCCGAGGCGCCAAGGGTCGAAAAACAACACATTTCAAGCACATCATTTCCTCGAGCTCCGCGCGGGTTTCTTGGATTGGCGTTTGGTCCCCTCGGTGGCGCCTCCAGCGCCGCGCCTGGCGCGCTCCGCGCGCCAGCGGGGGGGTCCAGCGCAGATCATGGACATCCGCACATATCCGAAAGCCTATAAATCTGCGCCACCCCTGGCAGCGCAGATCCAGGAAATCCGCGAGAAGCCGCCGCCGAGGGTCCGTCGGTGCCAAGGGGGGACACCGCTACGGTCAACACGCTGAAACGAGGACGACTTTGGTTTACGGAGGCCAGAGGAGGAACGTAAGGTCGGGAACTTTTGCATTAGCGTGTCGCTTCACCAGTTCTGGCCCACCACGCCTCGGCGTGACACGTTATCGCGTCCACGTGCCAAGTTTTCCCCGCCTCCCACCCCGCGAAACGGAGCGACACGCCATGGATTTGCAAGGCATAGCGTGTCGCCGAGGCCGTCGCCGCGAAACGCTAAGCAAAAGTTCCCGACAGTGTACTGATACTGCCACGCGTCCGTCGTCGCCAGGGTTGAGTGCGCCCTGACATCCTGGTCAGAACATGCCCCGGGAGGGGTCTAGAGAGCAGCAGCATCGGCAGCGAAGAAGACACATGTTTAAGCGTAGAATTTCTGAGTTCCGCGCGGGTTTCCTGTATTTACGCTGGGGCTCCTGGCGGCACCTCTGGTGCCGCCCCTAGCGCGCTCCGCGCGGCAGCAAGGGGGGTCAGCGCAGATCCAAGAAATCCGCGCGTCTCTCCAAAAGTTCATGTTTATGCAGTTCGTCTTCCTGTTACACCAGGAGGATGTTTAGAGATCGAGGAGAAGGGAGGATCGAGGAGGTTTCGGACGTTTCTCGGTTTCTCTGCGAGCTCTTGGGGGTTTGGGGGGTTAGAGGGATCCGTTTCCTGGGGGATGTGGCCACCGATCGTTTCAGAGGTGACTTCCCTTGGCATTGCTTGGGATGGGATGGGGAGAAACGACAACATCACCCGGCGGGCTCGCGCTGCGTCGCCGCGGCGGTGACCTCTCGAGGCGAATGTTTGAAGCTGTTGGGTCTTTCTTGGGAGGGGTGCCCCTGGACGGCGACACTTGGGCCAAATAGCGCGCTCCAGAAAGGTCCTCGCCTTCGGTGATCGAAGGAGTTGGCATCTCTTCCTCGGCAAAGGCGGCGGAAGCCGGCGAAAGTAAGACGAGGGCGCCTTCGCTGGCGGCAGGCGACGGAAGCCGGCGGAAGTAAAACTAGCCTCCCCAGGAGACGACACAAGCTTGTGGGGATCAGGGTTCCTGGATCTCGCCGAATACCACCCCCCCCGAGGCAGCGCCAAAGCAGCCTCAATGCCAGTCCGAGGAAGCCCCGCGACAGCCCATGACCGGCTCCAGACGGCCCCAAGCCTCCCTCTGACAGCGGGTCGCCTCCCAGGACTGCTGCCCGATGACTGCCCCGACGACCCCACAAGCCCCGACCTACGCATCGTCACAGCGCCATGGGCTGCCCCCGACCTATGTTTCATCACAGCGCCATGGACTACGCTGGAACCTGAGTGCGCGCGAAGCGCGCGCGCGCGTACAGTCAACCCGAATAGTAAGGATGAGCAATTTTCTAAGCTTGTCATCGCATCCTTGCCCCTTCGGCCCATCCCTGGCAACTTTCGCTGGCCAGCCCCACTCGGAACACGTCAACATGGCTTTTCAAGGCCCTTGCATCCTCATCTCACATGCATACTATATTTGTTGACTGTAGTTTTAGTTTTCATCGAAGACGTCTACGACGAGCCTTGGGCGCCTTTCTTTTTTTTGAAAGCGCCCACGTGGCCAAACGTTGGGCCGAAGTCTTCCCAAGCTACTGGGCGAAGTGTTTCGCCAGCCGTTGTGGAACCCTTGGGGAAACATTTGAGCGACACAGAACAGCGGTAAGCGTCCTCGACTCCAATATAGCGTGCCGCGCTGGCGGCCCACGTAAGCCGCCGCGTAAGGTCGCCATGCCATCTCGCGTAATGCCCGTTTCTTTTCGTCGCGCGTTTGGGAGAGGAAGAGAAAGGAGGATTGTCACGGATGTACCCTCAGGCCGTGGGTCGGGCTCACACACTTCAGCCCCTAGGGGAGCGGGGTCTGGCCGATGCGAGAAGCCTGCCACGCGGCCTAAAGCGGGGGGCGGAGGACAGCAATGATATTGAGGTGCTTAGTGAGGAACACCGGTCTATGCTCCACCTCTATATCGCCTTCTCTGTCCCTTGCCCCCTCCTCATCCTATGCCCTCTGGTGATCTGGTCAAATCCGGGCTCCTACAGGGTGGCATCCCAAGTCGGGGAAGCGAACTTGCCTCCGCAGTGGTCCGCACACATACTGAATCTGTTGCCGTGCACTGCCCAACGGTTCCCCTCAGGGGAGCAATGTGAACCTTAATGAGTGCGCGCGCCTCCCTGCCGCTGAATTTGAGCTCCAGGTACGGCCAAACCAGCCTCAGTGCACCGGTAAGCTGCCCAACTCACCTGTGTTCTCTCCAGGCACGGCCGAGAGCCACCCGTGGGGAATGCCCGACATCATGACGGGCGAGACGCGAGCACGACAGCGCGATTCATGAGGGGTACGGTCCCCAGCGTGAGGGGTCAACGCATGAGAGGTGCAATCCCCAGCGTGTTGGGTCAACGCACGAGGTAAGGGGGACCAACTCCCCAGCATGAGGGGTCACCTTTCTGTACCGCTTTGGCGCGGCTGGGAAACAGCGTTTGCACCAGCCCCACAAGGACGAATTGGCTGCCCAGGTTAGAGGTGGTAGCACGCGGGGAGGGCTGCCAATGCATGGCAACGCATGCCTGACCTGATCTCAAGTCGCTGCAGTCATCGTTACAGACTCGTCGCCAGCGTCACCGTCACCGCTGCCGCCTTTCGGCTGCCGTCTCCCGTCGCTCGCAGCTGGGAAGGATCACTTTTGAGAAAACTGCAGTATCGCAGAAATTATCAAAAGTGTTACCTCCTGGTTTTCAGCCGAAGGGAGCGGGAGGGCCGCTCGCTCGGCAGGAGGCCGTGCCTCCCTGCTCTCCGTCCTCCGTCCTTTTCACTCCTCCACTCCGTCGAGGAGGACAACCCCACCGCGCCCCAGCCGGAGCCCAGGGGGGACCGAACGAGCACCAGATGTCGAGCTCACATGCCTAATACAGACATCGGGATTGTTAGTCGAGCATGTGCTGTCTACCGCTGCCTGCTCTGTGGGTTTCCTGGCCCCCTATTGGGAGCTATTTGGGGCTATACATGGGGCAACCTCTCAGCCCAAAGCTGCTATCCCACTCAGTAGGATTGTTGATGCCGAATCTGCTATCCCACTTAGTGGGATCGTTCGCCTAGCATGTGCTGCGGCGGGCGCTCTACGTCTACCCCTATGTTGCGGAGTTGTCCTCCCTACGTCAGCACACGAAAACACGTCTGGCGACGAGGAGCGCCGGCAGCCCACAGAGTGCACCATGCCACCTGCACCCGCCCAGCGAAGCAGAGACGACCAGGGGCCGCCGGCGAGAGCGCACGGCACACGTGACACGGCGCTGAAGGCGAGCGCTGTTCCGGGAAAGACAGAAGACCCCTCCCGCCCCCTATCCCCCTCTGCGACCTGGATGCAACACTCAGGCCAGCATACGGCGTCATAGGGGCGCACAGGGTACAGACATGGGAGAGAGCAGCACGCCTTCCCGGCGCCTCCCTGCCATGCAGCACGCTCCTGGGAGGGGCACCGCCCGATGCCAGACAGCGGTGCACCGCTCCCGGCTGGTTCCCATCCAGCCCCGCCAATCCAATCGACCAACTGGCAGACAGCAACACTCTAGGGGACCCCCGCGGAACGCCAGCGCGCCAATCAACCAACCAGCAGCAGGGAGGCAGGAAGAGCCGCCTGCTGAATTGCAGCGTCCGGCCGAAGCAGAGGAGGAGGAAGAAGAGAAGGAGGACCAGCAACAAGAGGAAGGTCATCAAATTCGAGACACCCGCGGAGAGCACCACTGGAATTACCTTCGATACACCAGCGGAGAGCACCACTGGAATTACCTACGACGCAATAAAGATGCTGCACGTGTGATAAACAGGCAATCTTGACACCCAAAGCGGGCGGACAAATCGTGCCCCCCCCTCCGGAGCACGAGGGCGGAAACCGTGACACCACCGGTCCTCGATGATACGAGATGGGTGTTACGCGTATACCTCCCCTGCTGCTGCGCGCTGCTACAATGCTGCGCGCTGACATGCAATGCTTATGCCGCGGCTCGTGCGCGACATGCACGCGCATACACCACCATACGCAGGACCAAGAAGAGGTCCACCCCGAAGGGGGTGAGCCCTCACGACGACACGACACATCCTACCCACAGATCTCCCACCTTGGCCGGCTGCGCGCGGGGCTGTTAGCGAGCTGATCCAGTCGAATCAGCGGGCCGGGGGCTAACTGCGAACTTGCTGCGCAGTGGTCCGTAGCCCCCGCCCCCAAAAAAATAATTAAAAAAATAAAAAAAATGCAGCGAGCAGGCTTTGAGAAGCTGATCCAGTCGAATCAGCGGGCCGGGGGCTACTACGAACTTGCTGCGCAGTGGTCCGTAGCCCCCGACCCTGTTGCCCCCCCCCCGTGGCCACACAAATTACAACGTTTGCTGGTGTCGCCCCAGCTGCCTAACCCCTGGGGCGTTGAAAAGGTGCTCTTCGGGCGTGCGCCGTGCGGCGCACGCCCTTACCAGCGCCCCATGCGTCCTTTCCAACACCAGCCCCAGGGGCTGCGGCAGCCTTCGGCATGGGGGGGAAGAGGAAGGAGGAGGAGGAGGAGGAGGAGAAATCAGTGAAACCAGAAGTTGAGATCAGTGAACTTGCGAGTTCACTGGTTTTCCCCAAACCAGCTTTCGAATCAGTGAATTGGGCAGTTCACTGATTCTACAGGTAAATCAGTGAAATGGCACAGTCACTGATTCTACTTGTGGAATCAGTGAACGTGCCCCTTTGTAGTCCTTTCGGGGCCCCTTTGGAGTCCTGTTGGGGCCCCGTTGGGGTCCCCTCGGGGCCCCTTTGGGGTCCTTTCGGGGTCTCTTTGGGGTCCTTTCGGGGTACCCCTT